ATAAATTTACAGATACAATAATGGTAGGGTTGAAATGCAATTATTGCTCCATTAAGTATTGAAAGAAAAATGTAAACGAATCAAACATTAAAAATCAAAGATTGTATAAACTTATAAAGAAGAAGAAGAATAATAATAATAAGAAATATGTATATATAAATATGTACGTTTGTATACACATACAAACATATAGAAAATTGTACATATAGAAAATTGTACAACAAAAACCACTAATTTAGAGGAATTTTTATTTGATGTTCTCTTTTATTTTTTTTTTCTTTTGAGCTTTCTAATAATTTCTGTGAACTCAAAAAAAAAAAAAAAAATGGATATTGGATTGGAATGATATTTACTGGCAAAAAGGATTCACAAAATGTGAAAAATTTTTTTTTTCATTTTGATTGTTTTTTAAGCAAAATTTGTATATATTTCATACATATAAGTATTTATGTATGCATGGTACATGCATTGATGAAAATATAAAATTTAAATATATGTTCATGTCCATATATATCTGTACATATATTCCTATATACATATGTACATACCATATATTAAAATCAACATAAAAGTGTGAATAAAGATATTTCGAATTATGAATGTGTGTAATGTAAAAACCTTTAAGAATGTGATAACTTTAAAGAATTGTGAAAGCATACTTTTTTATTATATGAAAGAGTTTTCTTTTATGCTATATTATACATAATATGTACATGCATATGTATCTGTATAAGAATTTAAAATTACTAATTCGTTGCGAACGGAAATTCTTCGAATCATTTTAACTATATACACGTACATATGTATGTATCTATACCTATGTATGAGCGTAAATTTAAAAACAATGTATAATGTGTGGCTAAAACATATATGCTTTTTAAGAGAAGTACTTACTAATATACTTATTTTAGAGCGCAACAAAATTTAAATTGTAAATTAAAACATTTATTTTCTATATGTAAAGCAAGAGCAATCATCACAGGAATATTTGTATAAGTATACTTAAGTGAAATCAACCTTCAAAACAAAATTCCGAATTTTGAAATTGTTTAATCCTAATTCATACATTCTGTTTGAATTCGGTTTAGTATAAATCAAACTCAGAATTTTCATGCGCTTTCGAATCCTAACAAATATTTGAATTTTTTGTTGCAAAATATAAAATTTTAATTATTTATTTTAATATCTGTTAAAAATATTTGTTTACTACTGAAATACGCACATGTGCAATTAAACTACCTACATATATCAGCAACACAAAATTGCTGTTAAATACATTTATCTACTTTTCTTTTGTAATTCACATGCTTATAAGCCCATCGGTTACAAGCAATAACCTTTCATAAACACAATTGAATTTGTTGCATTTGTCTCTTTTTTATTAAAGTTCTTTTATAAGCAAAAAAAAAACTTCTAGCACAAATCTTATTTAAAACTCAATTCTGACATTGAAGATGTCATAAATTAAACTTCTAAAGGCTTAAATAAAATTATCTACTTCGAATGTCATTTGAATATTTTTTTGAACTGGTTTACAAGAGCAAAATCTGTGCTTATAACTGAACTTTATAGGAAAAACCGGATAAAAGTAAACGAAGATTGTGCAGTTTTCGATGTCCGAATGGAATAGTATTCATCAGATCAATTAGATTTTCACTAAATCATATAACATTTTTGGTATATAACCCTTGCTTAAACTAAATTATTTTTATCTCAAATTAAAATTTACTATATTTATTTGTGAATTATTAAATGCACATACCAATTTTTTAATACTCGTAGCATATATTTTGGGTAATTTTCCATTGATGGGTACATTTATATACATATGCACATATATGTAATGTACCTAAATAATAATAAAGTTGAGTCAAATCAATAGTTTGTATTGTAGCACTTTTCCCTTCAACAAGTGAAATAACTTCTTACAGTCTATGTATACCTACCACACCATTAAAATTATTTTCATTCATATACGAAACTATTTCTAGGATTGCATGTATTTAGAATGAACGATTTATGCAGTCTTTGAAATAAAGCGAAAATTAATATAAAGAGGGATTAACATAATGCTCGATTTTAAGGGTTAATTGTGTAAGTTAAGAAAAATAATTATATTTTTTAATGTCATGGAATTTAGCGTTAGCTTTTTGCATTTGTAGAAATATTGAAAAAGCTTGCGGTTTCGCAAATACAAAGCGTCAAAAATTCAAATTTTACAAATTTCAAGTGGCTATAACTTGAGAGGGGGTTGAGGTGGAAAAAAATATCTTTCTAGCGAAATGAACTATTTATTAGTGTCTAACAGATGTAATTTCAGGCTCTTACAACGTAGGGGGTTGAAGGAAAACGTGATCAAAAATTTGAAAAAAAACTGATTTTAGATAACGGTACATTTTAGCGTCCATTTTGCTTTTTTAAAATTCAAGTATAGTATGCCGCGAGAGAGGAAGCTACCCAATATATTTCTGCGTTTGAAAAATTTAAAAATGCGTATGGTTATACTACAGTAAATAGTTGAAAATTGGCATTTTAGGATTTTCGGGGGTATAACTTTTAGAGGGAGGGGAGATAGGTAAAAATTATGTTCTACGAAAATTAGTTTCTAGTAAAGATCCATGTAGGTATAAATTTCATATAGGTATAAGGATTTCAGCTTTCTATCTTCAAGGGTGTAGAAGTTTTGTAAACAGACACACGGACAGACGGACGGACGGACGGGCGGGCGGACGGGCGGGCGGACAGAGTGAAACTAATAAACACTTTTTTCAAAAAATTTTTTGGAAAATTGCTAAAAACTAGGAAAATAAAGAGGTTAACTAAAATATTAAAAAAACATTTGATGTGATCGACATATAACCGACCACCACAGGTATTGTCTACGTTGCGAAAATGTTGTTGCACTAGAATATAAAAACGTCGACCTTCTTTTTTCAAATTTTAAGAACACTAATAAGCTTTTAGTAACGTAGTTAGAAAAATTTCAATTTGGCTCTTAGCAAAATTTGCGTTGTGCCCTCTGAATTTCTTGATAAGTTTGCCATGTACTTTCGGTAGGAAACAGAACCAAATATTAAATTTCAATTTAAATTTTACAAATGTAAAATCTTCCTTTAGTTCGGTTTCAGAGCTCTTCCAAAAAAAATTTATAGGTTCATTGTTTTAACACCTTTAACTTAAACATTGATTGAATACTTCATGTGTCCAAAAATGTAAAATCGGCACGCAAAAAAGTAGTTTTCCCAAGGCTTGATAAATTTTAAAAGTTGATCAATCTGTAACACAGCTATATTAAACACACATATGAGATAAAATCAAAATCGGTTCAGCCGACAGATAGACAGACGGACAGACCGACATTTTGCAAAAAATAGTTAATTTACACTTCCCTACCATACAGAAGTGTGTTGCATGCTTATGCGATCAGTAATAATAATGGCAACAACAATATTAACGGTTAATCTTAGAAAATATATCTAGGTGTATCAACCTTATGTTATTTGAGAGGTGGCTTCTCTTAGTTATAATTGACTGGGTTCCGCTCTTTTGGCTTCATTATATTTAGTTGCATTTTATACATATTATAAATATAAAATTCATTTAGTCTGTAGACGAAAATAATTTTTAACACTTTTAAAGAAAATTACGAAAAAAGTGCTTGTTATTTTTGCTCTGTCCGTTTGTCCTTCCATTTGTCTGTTTAAAAAACTTCTACACCGTTTAAGGTAGAAAGCTGAAATTTTGTAGATAAATAGTTCTTTGCTAGAGACTTATTCCTATAGCAGAATTTTTACCTATCTCTCCCTTCGGAAAGTAATAGCCCCTTAAACTCCTAAATATGTCGTTTTTTAACTAGTTATTTTAACGAAACCACGAACATTTTAAATTCTGCTGACACGGAAAAATAGTAGCTGGCGTCTTCTACTGTGGTGTAAATGCCATTAAAATTACCCGTTATCGTTGAATTTGACGATAATGATATGGCAAATTTTTCAATTTTTTTTTGTCTCATCCTAAATGTATGCAATCTTGAAATATCTTGGTTATATTAGTGAAAGTATGTAATTTAAATAATGTATGAAATTGTTTTTAACAGCAGTATTTTCACTTGTGAAGGGAAACGTGCTACTTTACGAACCTGCTTTGACATAACTTTATTTTTATAATTATTACGAAATATGAAATATGAAATTTTGTATTATGTTACCCATGCATCGTTATTTTCTTAGATGGATTTATCTTCTTGTTTATTTTAAATTTCCACATCATATTATATATTAATATACAAGATAAATTATTGTGAATATAAATAAAATAAAACGTAAAAGAAATGAAGAAAGACAAACCAATTCTACATATGTAGACGAAGACATTCAATGGTATCAATTTGTCTTGCAACGATTCGTCTTTAAGATGTCATATGCATAATATGCTACTCACCCATCCAATAGTCTGTTATGGTAATGTATTTTTAATTTTAATTTAACACCTTTACAAGATATTCTTATACAGTATATATGTATGTATATACCCATATGTATATATTCTTTTTGGTTAATAAACACGGCATTAGATTAAAAGCAATGGAAATAATACCGCGTTTGACTTAGTAACTGCATTTCACTTGTGTTTTAAATATGATGACGTTTCATAATACGAGTATGGATTGTAATTCCTGAAATAAAACCTAATAAACTCTTGTGTTCGCGCCATTTTAGAGTAGGTATATAACACTCTAGGTTCGTGACATTTTAGAGTGGCACATATAACACTTTAATTCACAACGGCGTACTCAAAGGGACAAAGTGAGTAGTTTACTTCAACACATCTTTTATTGGTTTTAATAATTTTGACTTTTTTCATTGTGTATTCCTTACTGTTTTTTTTTCTCTTTTTTCGATTTTGGCAATTTATTTCGAAAATTTGTGCCGCTTTGAACTCACAATAAAGTTTATTTTTAGCACGTTCAGTATTATATAATTATTTTAATTATTTTGCAGGTATCAGCGAGTGATCCAGATTGTGGGGTAAATGCAATGGTAAATTATACAATTGGTGAAACAACGAAACTAATGACTAAATTTGAAGTTAAAACAAAAACTGGTGAAATATGCATATCTGATCATTTGGATTATGAATCAAAAAATTCATATGAATTTCCTGTGCTTGCGACAGATCGAGGTAAGAAAATTTTTCGTGTTCTCCATTAATTTTCATATAACAAATTACATTGATTTATTATAATGTCAAATTTACTATATTTTATGGTTTAATATTACAAATATGTTTATTATATTTAATTCTATAATTTGATATTATTTGATTATTTATTGAATAATTTATACATTTACCCAGCATTTACACGTACAAGTTACTTGCAAGAAAGTTGCAATACATACAAAAATTTTACTAACACATTGAAATATTTCTACTTGCTTGTTTACTTGCAGTTCAACTTGCAAGAAAATTTTGCTGCCAGTAATTTGAGCAAGTAATTTGACATATTGAGAAATTCACAAAAAAAAATTTGTTGCTTTGATTTTTTTTTTTTTTTTAATTTAAAATTTTTGAATTTTGTTTTGAAAAAATTAAACTTAGCAAACTTAGCTAGTTGTTTTCTTCTCAAAGACATTTTCAAAAATTAACTTGCTAAACGCCTACGTCATAATAGCAAGTAATTTGACATTTCGAAAAACTAATTGACAATTAATATTATACAAACTTGCATGCAAGTAACTTGTATGTGTAAATGCTGGGTTATTAAATTTAAATAGGCCTTGTATTTTATTATTAAAAGTTTTTCTCAAAATTTTGGTTTTATGACAGGTGAATATTAATTTAAAATATAGAATAAATGAAGTTTTATATAAAATTTTTTAATTTTGTGCTTACGGAAAAAGAAAATATCAATATGGTGTTCCATTAAAATAATTGAAATATATAATAGAAAGCCAATGGAATAAATCTTTATTAATTTATTATTAACAACTGAATGCTAAGACATGTAAAATATAATTGAATCCTTACAATTTCATTTTCTATAATTATTTATTGTTAAGTAGTGGAAAAAAAATATTTTAATACCACCTGCAGCAATGGATTTTTCAATTTAAAATTCTTTTATATATGTACTTTTAAAAAACATTTCACCAAAATGAAATGTCAAAACATAACCATAAAATTTTCAATTTCGATTTGGTGTCGCATTTTCAAATAGAGAAAAAAGAAAAGAGAAAAAGAAAGAGAAAATAACAAAAGGAAAAGAAAAATTTTTTTTTTATTTAATTTATAGTTTTTTTTTTTTGTTTTGAAAATTTTGCTAACTTAACAGGTGGTCTTAGTACAACAGCAATGGTAAAAATTCAATTAACTGACATAAATGATAATCGGCCAATTTTTTATCCACGTGAATACAATGTTTCATTACGTGAATCATCTGGTATTTTAACATCAACTTCAACACCAATTGTATCAGTTGTCGCCACTGATTTAGATTCTGGACGTTTTGGTTCAGTATCATATCGTATATCGGCTGGCAATGAAAATAATATATTTCGTATTGATCGTTCAACTGGAGAATTATTTATAAATAGTCCAAATACGATTTCAAGAAGATCCCAACCAATACATCTTTTAAATATATCGGCTTCGGATGGAGGAGGTTTACGATCAATTCAAGATGCCTTAATATATATTAGTATAATTGATGTAACACAAAGACCGCCAATATTTGAAAAATCACGTTATAATTATAAGGTCAAAGAAGATATGCCGAGAGGAACAATTATAGGAGCCGTTACAGCGGTCAGCAGTGATACAGGTAAAAGAAAAAAATGTGTAAATATAGTTTTTTTTTTCTTGTTTTCGTGTGTTTTGTTTTCTTAACAAATAAAAACGTTGTTAAACCTAAAATATGTACATATATATACTTTGTTTATATTATATATTCATATACACATATATATGTGTATCGTGTATGTGTGTAACGGAATAAATTTATTTATTTATATAACTACATGTTTATGATATTATTCAAACAAAATTTGTACAGTTTGTGTATAAATACATCTATCTGTTTGTATAATTTATAAGTATATGTATATATGTATGTAAGTATATGAGTGTACATTAAACTTATGTAGTAAAAATTATGCAGTAATTTATGATTTTCTATTAGCCATTTTAAAGATTAAATATTACATACTTATTTTTTTTTTCTCAGTGAGAGTCAATAACGTAAAAATTTTAGAATTTTGATAAATTTTTTTTAAATGGATTTATGAAAAAGAATGATTTAAAGTATAATCTGATTAGTTATCAAAATAAATTTAAAATTGAAAATAAAAAAAAAACAAGAGAAAAATTTAGAAAAAAATAGAGAAAAATGAAGAGTTTCAAGGATGACTTGGTTTTCCAAATTTTTGTTTTCTCTTCTAGCATAACAAACAGCAATCAGTACATACGTCGTATTGTATTCGTATTTGTATTCGTATACACATAATATGAACATCGTGAAAAATATTCAGTAATTATTCCTTTTATACTTTTTATACTTAATATTTAAAATGCAGCAAAACTAAACATTAAAGTTCTGTATTATTATGAAAAGTGTACCAACCATAAAATTAGGGTTGCCACTCAGGACAATTTCTTTACACCAATCATATTTGAACGGAAGAAAAAACTGAAATAGGGGGAAAATAAAATCCATTTCACAAGAAGTTAAAACTTTATTATGAGCTGCAATAAATGCAATTTATTTTTAATTTTTTCCCTAAACTTACTTATCTACTTTGAAAAGTAAAATTAACTGTTATTGCATACGACTTATAAAAAAGAGCATAGTATGATTAGACAGTGATATGAAAAATATTTCACAATTTAAGTGTCAATAAACAGAATAAGCACTTTTATTTAATGTTATTTTTTTCGTAAAAGTGCTAAAAATTAAAAAAGTTTATAATAGTTAATCCTTAAATGCTAAATATTAGAAAAAGACTTTTTGTTACTTATACAAAAAGAATTTGACACGTGTATGTATGCATGTATAAGTAATATCCAAAAGAAAAATGGATCTCCTTCGGAAGAAACCAAATAAAATGTAAAACAAAAAATAAAAATGTGCTAAAAATTAAACCAATTTACGAAAAATTCTTCGAAATTTCTAGGAAATAAATAAAAAAATACATTTTTGGAAAAAAAAATATTCTAAAACGGCAGCCCTGACCATAATATTCATAAAATATAAAAGCAAACATTTAAAGATAAAATACATTCATACATACATGAACATACCAGCAAACATAAATACATAATAAATGTACACCTATATATAAATAAGGTATAAAGATGAAAAACAAGAAATATAAAAAAAAAATATATAATTTTCTTTCTTGTTTTGTTTTCGAGTTGAGTCTACAAATGGAATGCATCTTATCGGATTTCTTTTTCAAAAGAATTTAATAATGTAGAAAAGGAAGAAAGAGAGTCTGCACATTTGAAAGAAGTTCAGAAATTCGATTGTTGTCATGTATGCAAAGTGGCTAAATTTTTATTTTTATATTATTCTATCTATTTTTTTTCTTTTTATTTTTTGTTTTCGTTTTTTATTTTTTATTCCTTGGATAATCATATAAACGTATATTTAGGTTAAATGCACCTCTGCTCTGCAGTACCTTGTAATCGGGTGTAATTTTAAATGTGATTTTCTTCATATAATTACGCTTTGTTATACAGTCTTTTATTTTTTTTTTTTTGTTATTTTTCACATTCGCATATAAATTTTGGGAGAGTTGAAAATTTTTGTAATATGCATATATATATATATATATATATATATATAAATATATATATTCCTACATTATTATATGGTATGTTCACGTGCGTAACTTAAAAGCTAAGTATAAGTACATACATATGTCTTTACATACGATGGTTATTTATTCACAAGAAAAAAAAAATTCTATTGAATATAATTTTATTATGGCGTTAATTGAAATTTGCATAAAATCATGAAAGTTTTTATTTAATAAGCTTCTTTATATATAATTAATATTTTGTTACTCTATACACTCACGCCACCCATATTTCATTATGATCACATATAACATAATTAACGTTTGTTAATTCCGAGGATTCTTTTGTTTTGTCTAAAATATTATTTTTGTTATTCATTAAATTTTTTTATAGTGCAGAAATTTATTCATTTTCATTTTTAGAATATCTTCAAGCAATAAGCCTCTCGTAGAGAAGTTTATTTAAAAAAATACTACAAGGAGAAGAAGTCCAAAACCCTTAATTTTTAACTTTCAATCGAATCTATAATAATTTTAAATAAACGTACTCTCGTATACTTATGGATAAAAATGAATGTATCACGTTCTTTTAATAAAACTCGAAATTTTTAATTATTATTCCTTACTAGTTTTTGATTTCTAATTACAAAATTTTCTCTTTTTCTATACTACATATATAAAAATGATTCTAAAATTCAATTTCAATTCGGATTTAAGCTTCAATATACCTAATATGGATAGATTTTCTTGAAAAAATGGAAACATTGCAGATTCTATGTCTCAATCAATGTTGAAGAAAAAAAAACAATAACATTTGTTTCGTTACAGAATTTGATTTCTCATATAGATTTCTCCATGGTTCATCACATTCAATTTACAGAAGTGAATTTCTGCCCTTTATAATAATTAATATGTATATATGTACCTACGAACGTATTCACAGAAGCGAAAAATATATTTATCAAAATAATGTAAGCACATTTGTGAATTAAGTATTTATGATAAATACTATTAACGGCTGCATTACATATATTTATATCCCCAAAAAAATATACATATTAATTATCTAAACGTGAACACATAATATGTACATTATTGGCATATATATGTATAGAATATATATACATACATAGGTGCTTAAGCGTAAAGTAATAATTTTGTGGTTAAGTAGTGGAACCGTGTAAATTTTTATTCGATTTTATTATATTTTTTTTTTTTTTGATTGTTAATTTACCATTCGTCTGAAGTCTGAGAATATCACAATTATTTTCAATATAAAAATCATTCTATAAATATAAATTTTTTTCAATTTTCACAAAAATTCATTAATCTTAAGTATGGGTATTAAGATTATAAAAGATTAGATTGCCCCGAAGTTCAATATAGAACACACTTTGTTTTTTTTTTTGTTTTGTTTTTCATTTTCTTTCATTTATTCTTTTATTTATTGGTTGGATTTCTTTTTCGTTCACATTATTATATTCAATCACAGATTTTTTTGCTTTTACTTTTTTTTTATTTTTATTTTTAAATGTATTTTTATATATATATGTTACGCTGTGAAACATATAATCATATATAAGTATGTACATGTATTATAAAATGATAATATATGTGTGCATGCATTTATATAATAATAATAATGTACCTATATATTTGAGTATGAGTATATGTATACACGTATGTATATACAATAAAACATATTAGTAAGTATATGTGTTTTTATGCATTCGTTTTTATTGAGTACCTATATGCTATGTAAGCTTATAAGAATCGAAGAAGAAAAACGGCTGAAGCCGTCGTCGCATCGTAGTTTAATTGTTAGGTTTCTTGACGATTTCAAAAAAAAAAAACAAAAAAAAAATAATAATTTTCTGCTTTGTTTTCAGTGCTTTCTATATATTTTCTACCGAAACCTGAGATTGAATCCTTATTTTTTTATTGTTGTTGTTGCTTTTGTTTTTAGTTCTTTTTTTTCTGTTCTTTTTATATCAAAATGCAAATTAAAGGAATTGTTGTGAAAGGTGCGGTAGATCTTTTTATTTATTTTTTTATCATTTTTATTATTATTTTGTTTTTTGTTGATCAATTAAATAGCCTATAAGATTCACGAGAAAAATTCACAAAATTGAGTATTTCAGCATTTATAAAAAAAATAACAATAATAATAAAAAAAATAAAAAGGGTTTTGTGAAGGTTTATAGCGGATATTTTTGCATAATGTTGACAGAAATCTTAAATAGAATGACAGGTTGATGCATAATTATTTTATGCTGAGCTATTTTTTTTTTCTTCATTGTTGATTCTTTTTTTTTTTTTATTTCTTATGAAAATCGGGGTTTAGTTACAGCGATAAATTTCAATTTTGTTCCTTTTTTTTATATTTTGTAAATAATTTTCCAGTTGGCTAATAATCTTGGAAAAATTTTCATATTATGTGTTCACATATGAATACAAATACTTATACAAATAAATGGTATGTAAAATAATATAAAAGAATATTTATAGCGTTTTGTGTATTAGAATATAAAATTTTCATAATATTATTTTTAAGTAATTTGATAGTTATTTAAAAAATTTTCAAGGGAACTGACTCTTGCTTAGACTTTAAAGGATAATTTGCTCAAGAGATATATATTATTATAGGTTCATTAGAAAATATTTATACTGGAACTATAAATATATTATTGCTTTTTTATTTTTATTTCATTTATTTATGTTTAAACGCTTTGAATAATTAGCTATATATATTTTTTTTAAGTTTAACCAAAAAATAGTTCCAATATTTCGTTACAATTATTTAAATAGCGCTTATTCTTATAAATCAAAAATTTAATTGTAAAAGTTTAGAATTATTTTATTTTAAATGAATTTTATTCAATTCGGTTTATACAAATAATATAAGCAAAAGTTTGTTTGAGAATCCTTATAGCAAACAAAAAATATTTGTCAAATAATGTGGAAGTTTGAGCATGAAATAGTGATGTATGTACATATTAGAAACCAACATGGATGCGAACATATCAATAATTATTTTTATTCCATTACACATATCGTGATAGATTATTTTGAAACGCATTTTTAGTTATAATGCTTATTATATATGCTAAACACAAATCAATAATATATTGTAGGAAGTCGTAGTCTTATAAGATATTCAATATATTCCGGAGATCCTGATGGTTATTTTAGTATCGATCCTTCGACAGGAAGTATTCGAATAGCTAATCTTTTAGATCATGAAACGAAATCACAAGTTCTTTTAAATGTATTAGCAACATTTGGTAATCCATCAACTTACGGCCATACGCAGGTACATTTTTTTGATTACAATTACGAAATATATTTATCATTAAATTTTATATTAATTAGGTTAACGTTGATATTGAAGATATAAATGATAATGTACCAGAATTTGAATCAAATATGATCCGAATTTCGGTACCAGAGAATACATCATTAGGTATTCCAATATATTCAGCGAATGCATACGACAAAGATTCTGGAAAGAGTGGCATAATAACATATAGTATTGCAAAAGTTAGTTCAACTATGAATAGTTTAAAAGGAAATACTTCATCTTTATCTTCAAACTTATATTCAACTTCTTCTCTACATAATTCAGCAAATTCAAAATTTTTTACTGGATCATCAGGATCGTATTTTCTGGATAGTGGGCTTTCATATTCATATGGTACTACTAAATCACCTTTGGCTCTTTCAAATATGCAATTGATAAACATGGCTAAAAATAATGAAAATTCTAAATTCACTATGAATTCACTAAATTTATTTTCAATTGATTCACATTCTGGTCATATAACACTTTCGCAGCACTTAGATTTTGAAATTTCCCAAAGACACTCACTTATCGTTACAGCATCAGATTCGGGAGTTCCAAAATTATCAGCTAATTTGACGGTATTAATTGAAGTTCAAGATGTTAATGATAATGCTCCTCAATTTGAAAAAAATGAATATTCGATCAGAGTACTTGAATCAATGCCAATTAATTCCCAAATTTTACAAGTAAGTGCCATCGATTTGGATACAGGAAATAATGCTCGTTTAACATACAAAATAATTGATAGCCATCAAGTTTTAACTAATTCTAATACAAATGGTAAACAAATTTGAAATTCTTTCCTTTTCATTAAAATTGTTTACATATTGTATTGCCTTGTAGGTCAATCATTTCGGAAAGAAGAAGATTCAACTGACTCGCATAGCAAAATTAATGTAACACCTAGAACTGATTTAAGTGTTGCAAACAAAATATCTATTAATATTAATGATGCAGACAAACAAGAAGGTAAAGAAGTATTTGGGATCTTTCCAAATAGTGGCTGGATTTATTTAAGAAAAAAACTTGACCGTGAGACTTGCGATCGTTTTGAATTAACCGTAATGGCCATCGATAATGGATCTCCATCAGCAAATACTACAACACGTGTGATTATTAATATTCTTGATACAAATGATAATGATCCGGAATTTTCTCAAGAATCGTATGAGCTTTATATTGATGAAAATATGAATCGTGGAGCAATAGTTGGTAAAGTATCTGCTTTTGATAGGGATTTAGATATAAATGCGGCTATTCGATATAGTCTTATCCCAAGCAACACAAGCCTTCAAATAAATTCTTTAACAGGTAAGATTATCAATATAAATAGCTAAATTATTAAACACTAGTGTTAAAAAAAAAACTTTTATAGGAGAAATAACTACACGGGAACCTCTAGACCGTGAAAGTAAATCTGTGTATGAATTACTAGTAGAAGCCAAGGATCAAGGTTCGCCATATCGAAGTACTCGAGTACCCATTAAAGTGCATGTAAACGATATAAATGACAATGCTCCGGAAATAGTTGATCCACAAGAAGATGTTGTTAGTGTTCGGGAAGAGCAACCACCGGGAACAGAAGTAGTAAAAATTAGAGCTATAGATCGAGATAATGGAAATAATGCAACAATTAATTACTCTATTTTAAAAAATCGTGACTCGGATGGTTTTGGACTTTTCACGATAGATCCAGTGTCGGGGTTAATAAGAACAAGTACTTTATTGGATCACGAAGAACGAAGTATTTATCGATTAGCGATTGCAGCTACAGATCATGGAATTCCTCCCAAACAAACAGTTCGTATGCTGCGTATTGAAGTTTTAGACTTAAACGATAACAGGCCAACATTTACAAGTTCAAGTTTGGTTTTCCTTGTAAGTTTAAAATATTTTAAATAAGTCTAGTTTTTTTGTGAAATGAATTTTTATTAATATTTCTTTTAATTATCGTAATGCTATACAACACGTACAATTATTGTGGTTATTTCTGCTTATAAAATCTAAAGCAATAATTTTAATTGTACGAGAATATGTCAGTGTATATGACGCTCTTATAATTTCATTTTGAACGTTTTGATATGATCCAATTTAGTATGCAAGTCACGTGTCAAAATTTTAATTTTATTGTATTACGAGCGTTGAATCTTTTCAAATTTATTTTCAACCATGAATCATATCATAAAAATCATGAATCTTCTTAATTTTTTATTTATATTTTTGTTTTGAATATGTGCTGGTATTTTTAATAGCTTATTTAATTTTTCATATGTAAAAAATTAAATGTTTTTAATAAATTTCTTTGTTTTTGTTTCGGCTTATTTTAACATTAAAGGTACGGGAAGACGTACCTGTAGGTTTTGTTGTTGGTCCTATTGGACCTGACCGTACAGATTCAAATAATAAAATGGTTACGATGACAAATTTACATATAACTTACACATTGTCATCATTAATGAAAGATACTATTGAAGGTGCATTTGATATTGATGGTCAAACTGGTTCACTGATTGTAGCTCGAAAACTTGACCGTGAAATACAGAGTGAATATCGATTAGAAATACGTGCGCTAGATACAACAACTTTAAATAATCCCCAAAGTAGTTCTATTATTGTTAAAGTTGAAATTGCTGATGTAAATGACAATGCTCCTCAATGGTCAAACGATCCAATACAAATTTTCGTTAACGAGAACACTCCAATTGGAAACATTTTATATAACTTTACAGCTACGGATATTGACACAGGTTCAAACGGAGAACTCTTATATGAATTGTTAAGATATAGTCCTCAAGCTGATTTAAATGTTTTCGCAATTGACGCAATAACCGGTGCTCTTACATTACAAGCATCTTTAGATTATGAAGAAATCAATGAATACATTTTAATAATCGCAGCAAAGGATCAACCATTGAATAGAACGGAAAGGTTGGCAGCTTCGGTAACAGTTCATGTTTTAATTCAAGATGATAACGACAATAATCCAGTTTTCATAATGCCAATATCAAATACAGATGTTGATGAGAAGAACAATGTTGAGGGAAATATAACAAAGGCGAAAATAGTGTTAACTGATTCAATACGAGTTGGTCAAGTTGTCACCCATGTAATAGCTACTGATAAAGATTCTGGTAACAATGGTAAAATTACATATTCCATATTAAGTGGAAATAAAGATGAAAGTTTTAAAATTGATTCAAATACTGGGTTAATTCGGTTATCTAGATCATTACAAATTAATTCATCACCGTATAATAACAACGATGATTTCATGTATAGCGTGAACGAAAATTCAAGTTACCGTAGCAGCAGTGGTAACAGTATAAGTAGTAATTCCCGTATTAGATATGATTACGAAAGAGAGAAAGTAAATGATTTTGAAATTATTAGTAAAGAAAATCATGAAAATATGAATGAAAAATATAAAACACAGAAACGTAATAGCAAATTTAATTTAATAATAAGCGCGAGTGATAATGGTATACCATCACGAAAAGTTCAATTATATTTACAAATTTTTATAAATAGTGTAACAAATGTTCCACCTCGGTTTTTCCAACCCGTTTATCGTGTTAACATATCAGAAAGTACGCCTATTGGTAGTATATTAGCGCGTGTTGGTGCTAAATCATTTAATTCAAATGAAAATGGTAAGTAATTTTTTTTGAAATAATCACCAGTCGACTTACATAATATTTATCATACAGCCTATCTATTATATGAAATACCACCCGGAATTTGTGACAATCATTTTCAAGTTGGATTACTAAGTGGTACAATAACGAATTTGAAAAAATTTGATCGTGAGACGAAAGATGAATATATGGTTCCAATATATGTTATGGAATTAATTGTTAACAGCAATATTTCCAGTAATGGTACTTTCTTGGCAGCTACAAATACGAATGATTTACAACGATTATCATTGACACAAAAAGCTAAAGGTCAATTTGATATTGCCACACTTATAATTAAAATTACAGATGTTAATGATAATGCTCCCGAATTCAGGCCGGGATCATGTTATCCATTATCCATACCTGAAAATAGTGAAGCCGCTGTGATTCACACCATTGTAGCAACCGATATGGACGATGGTGTTAATAGTGAAATTTTATATAGTATAGTGGGTAAGCATTTCGTTTATTTTTCTTTTCATTTTCGTAATATTTTTGCATTCTTGCACTTGACTTTTTTTAAACAATTTTTTTCATATGTAATGAATGAAAAAATATGTGTTTTATTGTTTTGCTTCAACCAGGTGGCAATTTAGGAAATAAATTTTCAATTGATGCACATACTGGGGAATTAAGTGCTCGCTCATTAGACCGTGAACAAAATTCACGTTATGTTTTACAAATACAAGCACAAGATCGTGGCACGCCAATAGCGTACCAGGGTTATTGCAATATAAGTGTGATGGTTGCAGATCAAAATGACAATGATCCAGTCTTTGAGCAGTCCAAATATATGGTTAACATATTAGAAAACATTGAAATTGGTAGTTCTGTATTAAAAATTCGCGCAAATGATGCTGATTCTGGTGAAAATGCTCGTATAGTTTATTCTTTAGCGAACGAAACACAATGGTTATTTGCAATTGATAGTAAATCTGGACTTATAACTACAGTTGGGTAAGCATTCCTTTTCCTTACATAAATTTTTAATTTGTTAGCTGTATAACACAAAAACAAGAAAAACCGAAGGCAATTTAGGAATTATTTCTTTATTTTCTTGAAATAATTTTCAATAGTTCAAAGCGAAAAAGCTCGTATAATGTCTAATAACGCGTTTAGTGAAGTTTTGTTAGCATCCAATCCTTATGGAAATACGCTATGGAAAAATCGAAACATTAGGGCAATATATTTTCATTGCTAATTATTATGAAATAAAATAGTTCAAATAATAACATTTTTATTTTTATAATCTCGACTTACTCATTTCCTTTTTAATAATCAATCTTAAACTGTTAAATTTTTATTGATACAGAGAACTTGATCGTGAAACTCAAAACGTTTTTAACTTTATGGTTGTTGCCACTGATGGTGGAAAATATGATTCTCGATCTCGTCAAGTACCTATTCAAATTTTCATTGAAGATGTAAATGATAATAAACCAATATTCGAGCATTATCCACTAAGAGCCAATGTTGCAGCACTTGTTCAGCCAGGTCAAACAATAATTCAAGTGAACGCTATTGATATAGATCAAGGAATCAATGGTGAAATATTTTATAGTATAGTAACAGATTCGACTAATGGTAAATTCCGAATAAATGCTAACACTGGTGCAATTAGTTCTACACAAAGTTTAGCTAGTGAAGTAGGTAATACGGTACATTTGGAAATTATGGCACGTGACAAAGGCAATCCGCAGCAAAATACGATGGGCTTAGTCGAAATTCGTATAGGAGAATCTCAGCCTGGAACACCAACTTTGCGCTTTCAAAATGATAGTTATAACATTAGATTAAAAGAAAATTCTCAAATTGGTAAAACTATTTTACATGTTAATGCAGTACGTAGCGACGGTAGGCGACAAAAAATAGCGTATTCATTCGGCGCCGGGAATGAAGATGATTCTTTTACAATTGATTCTAGCACTGGTGAAATTAAGATTAAAAAAGCAGATAATCTTGACTATGAACGAAATTTTATGGATTACGCTACAGCTTTCAACTATCGAAATGGTTTGATTAATACTAGTGATCCTAAAATAAATGGTGGTACGACTTTAAAGCAAATTAAATTAGTACTTGTAGCTCGTACTGATGGTTCTCCAATATTATATGGATATGCTGAACTGACTATTGAATTAGATGATGATAACGATAACGAACCACATTTTACGCAATCCCAATATTTTGCTGTTGCTTGGGAGGGTAAAAATAAAGGTACGTTAGTGACACAAGTCAAAGCACTTGATGCAGATGGAAAAGGACCAAATTCTAGAATTTTATATCACGTTGTTGATGGGAATCATGACAACGCATTTATAATTGAACCAGCTTTTAGTGGAACTGTTAGAACGAATATTGTTCTTGATAGGGAAATACGGGATTTATATAGATTGAAAGTAATCGCAACCGACGAGGGTGTACCGCAAATGACTGGAACAACAACTATTCATATTCGAGTTATTGATATAAATGATAATCAACCTACTTTCCCACCCACAAGAATAATCAATGTCAGCGAAGGTAAGTAAACTTCTTTTTCTTATATAGTCACCAATATTTTTACTTCAAATATCTGAATTGCAATCAATATTTTATTAATTTGAATATTTTAAAATCAGAAAAAAACAAATTTAAATTATTTCATTCTCAAATTATTTCAAAACGTATAGGTACTGAATTAGGTACATTGATAACAACAGTTTCTGCAAATGATGTTGATACAAATCCAGTTTTAACCTATAATTTTTCTGATGATGTAGACCATTTGGATAATGATATGTCAAAATTTTCAATAGATCGATTTAGCGGAAAAGTAATATTGCAGCAAAAGCTTGACGCTGAATTAAAACAGGAACATCAAATTGAAATAATCGCCTCTGATGGTGCTCATAAGGTAACTACCACATTAACTATCCGCGTCACTGATGAAAATGATAATGCTCCAATTTTTCAACGAACCGCTTATGTAACAACTTATTCTGAATATACTTCGACACCAGTTGCCTCAAATAGTGAAAAAGTTATAAGAAATTGTGGTGGTTTAAATGATAATAGTGGAAATAGCGATGAAAAAGAAATTATTACTGTAAATGCTACAGATGCTGATATAAGCGAAAGAAATTCTAAAATAAGATATCAAATTTTGCCAGAGGAGGATGGATTTACGATAAATGAGAAGTTTGGAACGATTTGTATTAATTCTACTTATGTTAATAGTAAGTCAGCGTCAACAGTATTATTGAATAAAAGTTATATTTACTTGAATGTTTTGGCAACGGATTCTGGTCAAAAATCATTAAGTTCCAGTTCTTCTGTTAAAGTTATTTTAAATAAAAGCAGTTCTGGATTGACCCAGTTTTTGCAATCACAGTATCGTACATCTATTAACGAAAACGCCGCTATTGGAACAATTGTGTTTAAATTGAATAGAAATATTATTCAGGAAACGTCATCCTTATTGGATGAAAGTCAGAGTAATTTAAACTTCGCAATAGTATCTGGGAATGAGGATCAAGCTTTTGAAATTTTTCAATCTTGCGCTATAATTTTGGTTAAAAAGCTAGATCGAGAAAAAAATGACTTGTATAAATTGAAATTAATTATGAGTGAAGATGCACAAGTTATTGAATTCACTGATGAAAATGAATATGAACGAGATTACGGTCATTTAAGTTCGATTGACGTTTTCTTAACAGTTGAAGACGATAACGACAACCGTCCAATATTTGATTTATCTTCGAAGTATTCTGTCGAAATAAGTGAACTATCCCCTTTACGATATTCTATAGCAACAATAAAAGCAACGGATACAGATCAAGAAAATACACCTAATTCGGATATCGTGTACGACATAACGTCCGGTAATGATGCCGCAATGTTCACAATAGATTTGGTAACAGGAGTGCTTTTTGTCAATAATAAATTAGATTATGATAAGGGGATACCGAACTATGATTTAATAATTAGAGCATGTGACAGCGCTGCTATACCTAAATGTGCACTACAACCATTTAAAGTTAATTTAACTGATGAAAATGATAATGAACCGAAATTTCCACTTAGTGAATATACGGAATTTGTGGAAGAAAATGAACCGATTGGTACAAGTATATTTACAATTAGGGCCACAGATTTGGATCGTGGACGATTTGGAATTCTTAACTACACGATTGAGCCACTGAGTTATTCAAGTAGTGCTGACATTTCCAAACTATTCAAAGTAGATTGTGCTAGTGGAGTTGTTATAACAAATACTGTGTTCGATTATGAACAGAGATCTCGCTACAGCTTTATATTAAAAGCTACAGATGTCGGAGGGAAATATGCCTCCGCTAAAGTTAATATTATTATTGATTCAAGAGATGAGTTCAGTCCTCAATTTACAGAACGAACCTATCGTTTCGTTATGGCATCTCCAAGTTTCTTACCTATTGGATATATAATAGGTCAAGTGATGGCTACAGATCTTGATAAAGGTGTCGATGGAAAAATAGTTTACCAGTTGAGTTCCCAACATCCATATTTTAAGGTAAATCGCACAACAGGTGCTATTTTAGTGAAAAAGAAAATTGATAATAATTTTGATATGAGTCACGACGTTAGTCTTGTGGTAACAGCCAGCTCAGGAAGACAAGGTTCTTTAACGAATATGACAGTTGTTGAAATTTCAGTTGATCCTCTAACGAATTTAAGTACCAATTTGGCAAGCAGTGGTATATCTTCTGGTTCTGGAATGGCTGATTGGGCTATTGGTCTATTAATATCATTTTTGCTAATTATATTTGCTTTTGCCGCAGTTTTCCTTTTCCTGCATATGCGTAATAGGAGACCTAAAACAATCGTAAAACCAAATTTAAGCACAGAAACTGTGGGGAATTCTAACAGTTACGTTGATCCAAGTGCTTTTGATACTTTGGGTATGAGAAGCGGACCAAATGGAAATAACGGTAATAGTAGTAGCTCTAATCAAAGCAATAACAATTCTCAATTCGCTCCACCAAAGTATGATGAAATCCCACCATATGGTCAACATACGGCCAGTTCAAATTCTGGCGCTGCAACTACCTCTGAGTTGTCTGGGTCGGAACAATCTGGTTCTAGTGGCAGAGGGTCGGCTGAAGAAGGTGATGACGGCGAAGATGAGGAAATTAGAATGATCAATGAGGGCCCCATGGTTCGAAATGGAGGTCCAGATCATCTTCATAATGGAAATGGTCGTTTATCTGATATATCTGTACAAAACACTCAAGAGTATTTGGCGAGATTGGGTATAGTAGATACTGGGAATAATGTTCCTGGATGTGCTTCAATGTCTTCTCGTCATGGTAGTGAAAGTTTAGTAGGCAGCAATAAAGAAACCTTAATGCACCAATTGCAGCCGGTTGAAAGGATTCATCATACAATGTATGATAGTGAATCAAATGAGACTGATTTAACAAATTTAATCTATGCTAAGTTAAATGAAGTGGCTGGTGGCGGAAGTGATCGCGCAATTGGTAGTACTGATGACGTTACCACAAGTGGCAGTACAATGGGTCCAAGAGTTGATCATGTTTTAAGTTATAGTGATGTAGCTCCTTCTGTTGTCGGTGGGAGTAGTGTTAATAATCACCATCCTCCAGGACCATCAATGACTGGTTCTCTTAGTTCAATAATACATAGTGAAGAAGAATTAACGGGTAGTTATAATTGGGATTATCTGTTAGATTGGGGTCCGCAATATCAACCATTGGCTCATGTTTTTTCCGAAATAGCTCGACTAAAAGATGATCAATTATCTGTACATAGTGGTAACAGTGGAGCATCATCAAGTGCAAAAAGTGTCAAAAGCAAACAATCTATACAAGCACATCCATTAAAACATATACCACCTCCACTACTTACAAATATAGCACCTAGATCAATTAATGTTCCAGTATTATCAAGTAGAGGTAGTCATCTTTCAACTTCAAGTGTTAGTAATAGTATAAACAATGGTATTAATAATAATAATAACAATAATAATAATTCACATCAGTATCATTTACCTCGTTCATCTATTAGTCATGATGGTCATGAAACTGGTTTCACAACATCATCTGCAATGCAACCAAGTTTTTCTCCATCACTATCTCCTTTAGCAAATAGATCACCAACATTATCTCAACGTGTTGTAAATACTCATTTACCACAACCTGGTCATCATTTAGTATCATTGCCAAGACATCATCAACCTCAATTATCACAGAGGAAAAGTATGGAATCAGATTTAAGAGTGAGATTGTAAAAACAATTATTGGGTTCATTTAATTCTTAAACAAAATTTTGTTATTATAATATTAAAATTAATTTAAAATCAATAGTTCTGAATTATTCATATTTTTACAATAGTGTGTTCGGAATTGATCGATTTGCTTTTTCATATTTTGACTCAAAATTTTCAAAAATTTAAAATTTTCAATAATATGTTGCATCTAGTAGTAACACGTTTGGCCTATTAAAAAATTTTCAAAGGTGTGCTTTAATTTTAGTTTCTTCAAATAAAACTTTCATTTCCTTAACGAATCAATGTTGCTTTGATGAAGAATTTTTTCTAAATAAATTGATTAAAACTTTTTCCATTATTTTATTTGATTTTTTTTTAAATGTTATTTGTTTAAAAACAAATAGGTGCAAATTCTCCAACAATCAATAAATTTTTTTTGTAAACGATATTTTCGAACATACTGTTATATTTCATTTAGTTTTTATATTTATTTTTAATATCCTTTACAATCATATAATAATATTTATTTCGCCCGAAAATTTTCTAAATAAGCAAAAAACAATTAAAATAAAAAAAATTTAATGTATATTGTTTTGATCGTAGTTTACGTATTTAATTACAAGTATAAGTATAATAATAATAAATTTTAATTATTAATAACCCTTATAAAATAAGAAAATTAACAATTAGGTTACAAGTAACTTTGTATGTACCATAACTAATAAATACAAAAAAAATTACCCTTATTTTAGTGCAAATCGGCTGTGGTAGTAAAATAATTTTTTAAAAAATGATTTAAAATAATAAAATTTTTTTACTAAGAATAAAATATTTTATTTACTTTAAATATCCATATTATACATATATTTGCAATTACAATGTTAGTTTATAATTACTTAAAATTTTTTTGTAAATACTAAATATATTTAATAATATCAGTAAGTAATGTATAGTTTGATAATAGAATACTAAAAATTGTTATTACCTAAAGCATTGAGGTATTTGTATATACCTATTATATATGATCATTAATTTTTGAATAAATAAATATACGTATACTATAAGATTTCTGAAGACTCACATATCCTATACTTTATTTTTTTTGTAAAAGCATATAAAAATTTATTAAATTTTATTATATATATGTACGTCGACTGAAAGCATCGACTCAAACGCGTTTGTCATTTCCAAATTAATTATAAATCAAATAAATTTTCTAAATCAAGTTTGAATTAGCATATGCTACTGAATATTCCATTAAAATCTTAAGCTTTAACAATGATACAAAAAAAAAAAGAATAATTTTCTATTGTTTAGAAAAAGGTTAACAATAGAGAAGCAAATAAAATAGAGACAAATTCTAAAATTTTTCGATCATAGTGCTTTACAAAATAACATTTCTTTTTTTTGGTATTTATTAATCAAATAATATGTAAATTTTATGATAAATCACCTGAAAATCTTTTAAAAATTTAAGTGTTCTTTAAAAAGTTTTCATAAGATAAAATGTTATACATAAATTTATATGTATGTTATATATATATGTATACATATATATATAGTTTTTTAAAAATTGAGAATAACAAGTCTTAAATTTAGGAAAATTATTTATTTTGTAACAATAATATTAAAAATGAATGAAAACAAAAAAAAATTGTATCTTGTTGTTTAAAAAACCACTAAGTAACTCGAAAATTTTAGTTATACCATAATGTGAACTAATTGCATAAATTTAGGTATTTATACAAAATATACATATGTACATATGTGTACATAATATGTATGAATATGCCATAATTACATAACTACTTAATTTAGTAGCTCTCTATTCCATTAAGAAACTTAAAATATCACTATACATAATATTAGGTTGAGAGAAAAACAAAGTGTAATTCTCGACTAATACTGACACAAGCTAAAATCAAACTTAAATAAATTTAAATAATAAGTAAGTAATTCTTATTTACATTTAAATATTTGTTAATATATGTATTGAATGTATAAAAATTAAATCAAATTATACTCATTTTTAATTGGTTTAAAATTATTTCAAATTTTACTTCAGTATTGACCGAATATATTACATTTTTTTTCCTCTGTGTACAATACATATGTGTACACACGCATTTAAATTTTCATAAATTAATTATCATTACATTATTATCATATCTCCGAATTATATTTTGTATACGAAATTTTAGTATAAAATCAAGAGCAAAGTCCATTTGTTCAGTTCAACCAATATGGTATTATTATATAGAAAAGCTGATTGCCGCAAAAATATATTTAGTTGTTTTGTCGTTCTTGAACTTTTCATAATTGCCGTAGAACAAAACATTTGAACAAAGGCATTGTGTAATATATTTTCATTGTATACAATTTAAATTGCTAATAATTCATACATATTATTTAGAATTCGTTCTGAAAACATTAAATATTTTCCATGGTACAAAAATCGTATGGTACGTGAATCATGATTCACTCGTTATCAATTTTTATTCGTTTGATGTTGAAATTAAAATTCTTCAATATTATTTTTTATTATTTGAATTAATCTTTGATGAAAGATGTGTAGAAGCAGAACAAATATAATATTTGCACTAATAACCATTTTTCTTTTCGAAAAAAATTAAAAGTTTCTCTAACAAATTATTAATATTGTAATTTATTAGAAAAAAAGGTTATGTTGCACATTTATTTTCATACGATTTTATTGCATTTTTGTTTCATAAATTTTCTATTTAAATAAATTGTTAACAATAAACTTTTGTTCTTTATATCATCCAATTTCATTACATTTTGAATTTCATTAAAGTTTTGAAAGTGTTAGATTGTTTACCAGTGAAACTAAATAAAGAAGTGGAAAAAGAGAGAATTCTAAATTTAATACAAAACTATTAACATTTTTTAATAAATATTTTCTATGTGTGTACAAAAAAGTATTTGCTCTCTGTGTATAATAAAATTACAATTAAAAAATACACACATATATAATAATAAAAATATATAATATTATTTGAGCAAAATACCTTATGTGAATTATTATAAAAAAAATGAAGCTATACAATTAAAATTTTTAAGTTATTCCAATTCAAAAAATTCAATATTTATTCAATATAATAATGACAATAATATTTAAATTTTTTTTTTAAAATGGTATTCTATTTAATTAAAAAAAAAATTAATTTTTGAAAAATTTATTGTTTAATTATTTTGGCAATTGCAATGAATATTGAATTTTGACTGCTTTTTGTAAAAGTAGTTTTTATATAAAATACTAATAATATTAATTAAATAAATTAAATTTATAATAATAATTGTAATAATGTACTGATAAAACTTAAAATACATACAAACATATAATAATTAAAGATGTAGTTAAGATATTTTTTTTAAGAAAGAAAATAAAAAAGAAACAAAATTGTAAAAAAATTTTACACTTCCATTGAAAATAGTATTAAAAATAATAATAAAATAAATAAAAAAAATTGTTAATAAAATAATTTTTTTTTTACAAAAAGAATTTCTGCGTTTTTCTTTCACTAAACCTGTTATTATTCCAGTTAATTTTCATAGATCAATTTTTCAATTTTCACTTGTATGTTTGATAATTTTTAAATCAAATTAAAAAAATGTGATTGTATACACATATATGTGCGAGCATTTTAAATAGTTTAATCTTCGTAAAAAATTAAAATTGCTAAATTACAAAAATTTAAAAAGAATTTTATACAAAATTTGAATAGTGAATAATGGCAAAGATAAGATGTATGGTTTTTATTTATAGAACAAACGTATGTACATATATTGTGGTAAAATATGTAATAAACTGTATAATATAAAGTATAATAGATGTTCATATTTTATAAAAAAAATTTGGTAAGTAAAACAAAAAATCCATATAATTTTGACAAATTAGTTTTTGTTCTGCATAAGTCGAATGCCGACAAGTCGAATATTTTTAGTATAACACAATTCATTTTCTAAAATTAATATTAAATACAACTATAATATAGAAATTTAAAAATCATTAATTTATAATTTCATTAAATATTTTTATAAAGGACAAAATTTGTAGAAAGAAACAAGATATCAACAGTTTGCATATCGTAAGGCGTTAAAAATATTTTATATGTATAGCTAAATTTTGTTTTAAAAAAATTTATTCAGAATTAATTATTAATTAAATAAAAGTTTTCACATATGGTAAATATTTATATATTGGAGCTTATTCTGAGTAGCGAATCATTAAGTGATCCCCAGTGATATTTATGGTAAATAGTTGTAAACACTAACCAGTTCATATACAAATTATTCACTATCACTTGATGATTCGAAACTTAGGGAATGATCTATTTTACTCGGCAAGTGAAAAGAAAGTGAGTAAACACCATATATTTGTATTATGTAATTTTCAAGTGAGAAGAATTATTCGGTATTGCGTATCTCGTTTTTTTCTAAAATATACACAAAATTCATTCACTTTGTTTTTAAAGTGAGATGTTCGGTCGATAATTTGAGAAAAACTGCAACAATTCAATTGAGAAAATGAGTAATATTATTGGAAAAATGAAATTTTAGAAAAACCGAGAATTCTGAATAAGGTCAATTATATTGAATTCAAAAATTTGGAATAAATAATTTTTTATCACCAGAAATTAAGAACTTTAACCGAAAATCAGTGAAAAATAAAACTTCGATATGAAAATTACATAAATTTTAATTTAATTAGAAAGAAGTATTGTACATATTTGATTATTTTTCTGGAATTACAATGTAGCTATGTATGTATTCAAAAATAATAATTAGCAAGCTTACTGGAATTAAGCAAAAATAAAATATTATTTATCTTTATAAGCCTTTTGATAATTATTCCGATAAAATATATTTAATTTTTATAATCTTGAAATTATATTCATATTGTTAATTTCCATTATATTTTTTAAATACTTATTATTAGTATTTAATTTTTGTTTTATCATAATAATTTTTAAATAATAATAAATTTTTAGATTAACAAAAGAAAATTTTCCCTTTTTTTTTTTGCTAAATAATGTTGCAAGAATATTCTTTGTTTTTTTTTTTATTAAAATAATATAGATATTTCATAATTATATTTGTATTTAATCTTTAAAATAATAAAAGAGAAAATTTCTGGGAGTTCTTTTGTTTTTATTATGCATTATATGCATATGTACATATTTAATAAATATTGAAAAG